GCCAGGGGTACAGCCTCAAGCTTCCCAGGCAGGGGGCTGGCACAGGCTCATCCCTGCCTGGCATGCAAAGTGCTCGGCCCTCCGAGCTGGGTCCTGGGGGTCCCAACCCTCCCGTTCTCCCCCTCCACCCTGCAAAGGAAGGGGAGGAGGATGCAATTTGCTGTTTCTGGGGTAGATGGGGGGATGTTCTGCATCCCCCTCCCCAGGAAAAGCTTCTGGTGGCAGAGCAACAACAAGCACCAGGAAAAACACCTCTTTTTCTTATGCTGGCCACTGGCTCAGGGCCTACGGTTGCAGCTTCTGCAGCTGAGCCAGGGCTTTGCACCAGAGCGATTGCAGTGGGACCCGTGCCAGAGCCAGCTCTTGGGCTCTGATGAGCAGAGAACAGGAGAGCTGGGGCCATCTCCTTCCACAGGGTCTCCTCCTGGGAAGAGCTTTTCTGGCTGCAGGAGGATGCCCATTGCCAGCTCCATGTGAGCAGCAGGTGCTTGGCTGGATCTCCAGCAGGTTGGGGGGGAAGCGAAGGACGATCTCCCCATGTCAATGCATTTCTGCCCTGCACTCACCCAAGGATGCTGGAGCCCTCCTGTTTGTTGGTGCCCACCATCATGCACCATGGAGGACTGCACGGGTCCACGTGTGCCAGGGAAAGGACATCTCCAGCCATAAAATGGGAAGGAGACCAGAAACTCCCTATGGGAGCATGTGGACAGGGCAAGCAGAAGGATGCGAGCAGGAGTGGGTGGTAACAGCGAAGGCAGATGGGATCTTAATGTTTCCTTCCTAAAGCCAAGACACAAGAACCAGAGGTGATCGCTCCTCTGCCATATGTTCCTGTTTTTCATTCTTCTTGCCCAACTTCATTGGCATTTGGGAAACTGGTTGCTGAAGTAACACCAGTAACCACAGGAGCTTCCCTGCATCCTAGAAAGAGGCTCAGTTTATCCCTAGGTATTAAATCACCATGGGTTTGATAGCTGAGCTCTGCACTGCACTGTGAGAGCTGAGCTTTATCTAGGTCAGCATCAGATCCTCCTCCACTTGCAGCAGAGCCGGGGGAGGGGGAAATATCACCACCGGTTGCATCTCAGCCTGGCACTGACATGTGGATGCTTCGAGGAAGGTGATGCCAGGTAAAGGATGCAGAGTGCTGAGGGCAGGCATTAGGCAGGCAGCTGGGCAGGCGCAAGCCCCTGCTGGTAGTGCTGCCTGAAGATCTGCCTCCCAGGAGAGGCAGCTGCTGGCAGAGCAGTGTCACTCCTCCCTCTCTCGACCTCCCACTGCGACGTGCACCTGTAATTTTAGGAAGGGACACTTCCCTGCAGCCCATGAGTCTCTGGGGAAGCCCTCTTACACCTCTGGCTTCTGCAGCAGCTGGGCAGCGGTGCCCACCGGGCAGCAACCACCCTGTGCCACCTTGGCTGGGGGGACACGGCACCCAGCAGGGCCAGGATGCAAGCACTGGGAGGGCATTGCCTCCCCGGGTTGCTCTGCGGAGGGGTCTGTGGGATGGAGGAGGAGGATGCTCTCCTGACTGCCCCCAGCCCGAGCACCGGGTGCGTTGCTCCCCATGGCAGCAAGATGCTGGCAAGGGGTCTCCAGCATGGCCATGAGTCAGGTCACAGCACCCACTGCCTGCCAGCTTTGCCTGCCGGTACTGCACTGTGCTGCTCTTGTGGCAGTGGAAAAGACTAAAGCTCAGGCTAAAAAAGGCAGACTCACAAGGAGGAAGGGTGCAAGGAGAGCCCCCAAGGCTACAGCCATAGGCTCAGGTGATGAAGAAGTTGTACCGCGAGGTGCTCCGTCATATACCGAGATGGTGGCATATGGAGCCAGGGAGCTCCCGGCATCTGCTCATGCTCCAGAACACTTAAGCTACTTCTTCTCATGGAAGATAAAAGCAGCAAAGTATCACCCTGCCCTGGCAAGCAGCAGGCTGGCGATGGCAGCCAGGCCAGCAGCTCCCTGAGGATGCCCAGCACGTTGGGTTTGCAGTGGGGGAGAACAGAGACCAGACAGTCCAGCTCAAAGAGACAAGAAATTTGCCCAGACCAGCAATTTGCACCAGTCTCTCTTTGTGACTGCATCGTGCAAACCAAATGCCAGCACGCATGCCTTGCTCACGGGCAGCTGGATGGAGATCACAGGCACCCTGTGGGTGTGAGGCGGCTGGGGAACCACTCAGCACGGCAGAGCCGGTGCTTCCCTGGGCCCAGCACCAGCACTTCTGGTGCAATAGCGCACGGGGCCAGAGCTGGTTTCTCTGCTTGCTGCTCAAAGGGCAACTCCGGGCAAGAGTCCCTCCAGCCTGAGCAGTGCACAAACCTGGGCTAACGGTCTGGACATCAGCACAGCCAGCTTGGGGTTAATTTTACAGATGGGGGAATGCACAGAAGGAAATATCTGAGATATGGCATGCATGACTCCATAAATAAGGCAGCCTCTCCTGAGTATTTCTGAAGTGGCCAGGGGATCCAGCCACCACAGGAATAAACCTCTGCACTTTGCACCATCAAGGAAGTTCAACTCCTGAGTCTGCAGGTTAACTTGAGATGCGTTTGCTCCAGGAGCACCCAGATCTGCCTGACCCACGTGGCTGCCCCTTGCCCCCAGTACACTCGGTCACAGCCCCAGCTGGGACACAGAGCCATCACAAAGCTCTCCCAACTTGCTGGCACACTAATGAGCTCATGTTTCCCTACCCCAGGTCTGGCCCATTGAGCTTACTTCTATTAAATGTGTTTGAGAACACAAATCTGTCTTCAAAAAAAAAAAAAATCAGTTCATTAAGAAGACAGACAAGCATCTACAGTCTGAAAGGAACGGCAAATGGCAGCTGCCAAAAACGTCAATGTTAAATGCAGCTGCCAGCTGGGATTTATTAAAAGGTAGTTATACAGCAGCAGCAGTGAATGGCATCTTGTACTTGGGTAATCTCCCCTTCCTCTCCCATCTTTGCGCAGCTTGCTGGCTCTGATGCATCCAGCCCCACTGTGACCTCCAGGACTGACAGCCTAGATGTGTTGGGTTTTGCTCACTGCCTGAATATTTTATTTGGTTCTTTATCTAGGGAAGCCAGAACCAAAGAAAACAGCTGGTTTTGGCTAAAGCATTGCTCAGCGAGGGCAAGGTACCACCTTTCTCCACGTGAGCCTGCTCTCTGTCTGTGGGGAGAGGAATTTGGCGCTATCCCAGACAGTACCTAAGCCACAGCAGGCTTGTCTATGAGAACAAGCAGGGACCAGACTCATGCCAGAAAACCTGGGGTTTCCCTTGTTCATACAGAGGATCTGGGCTCACTTCCACATGTGAATACACTAAAACAGAAGGACAAGACATATGGGGAAGGGAGAAAATGGGTAAATACCACCTGTATTGGCTCAAGAAGCAAGGCACATTCAGCAAGGACCACAGCACCCATGTCCTATGCCCGGCACAGAGGTTGAGCATCTCCAAAACCAAGCACAAGTTGGTCTCTGTGGCTCCTCTCTGCAGAGATCTTTGCTCGTGTCTCTCACGACCTACCTGGTCCTTTTTCATCAGTGCAGGACAAGGACTGAGTCCCTTCTTGGCTCCACATGCCATGACCCAGCGCCACCTCCCACCCCACGGGATTTCCCACCAATACCCACCTCTTTAAGACTGATGTTTGCCGTGTAGACCACGTTCGTCCCGTCCCTCTTGAAGTGTGAGTGAGGCTTGTCCTTGAGGATGAAGATGATGTCAGCAGGGATGTTGTCTGGGGTGGCATCCCCTTCTTTGGGGAATGTGATTTTGGTTCCCTCCTTCCAACCCCGTTTGATGACAATGTTTAGGATCTTGTCCTCAGTCCGCATGGTTCGGCCATCAGCGTTGAGCCTTCTGCGGGTGATCTTCATCCTCTTGGTGGAGCCGTGGTAGATCTCTTCCAGGGACACATTGAGCTCATGGATGACGGGTGGGTCTTGGACCTTTCTCCGCATGTGCAGGGACTCCTGGTGCCGCCGGTGAACCCCATTAATGCCATTGAAGCCAAACCGGCTGAAGGCACTGAAAGGATCATCATCATCATCGATATCCATATCTTCCTGGTCAAAGCCATTGAACACCCGGGAGCGGCTGCTAGCGAAGAAGATATCAAAAGGGTTGGAGCCTCCAAAGAAGGACGCAAAGGTGGCATGGGGGTCTCCATGGAAGGTGTAGTGGAAAGTGTTCCCTGAGCCACCTGAAGAGCCACCTCCAGTTTTGAGACCTGGAAGAGAAGGGGGAAGATGAGACATTAACGCTCCCTGCAGGTGGACGCCATGCTGGGACCTTACTTTCCACGCGGGAGCATGGTCTTCCAGCAGCTCCTGGGGGTGCAGGTCGCCCCCTCCAGCCCAGTCACCTGCGGAGACTGTGGGCCAGGAAGGCACCACCCCAACCCATGACACACAGTCCTGCTCCTACACCCAGCAAGTTCAAAAGCCATTCGGGATTTGTCCCCACTACCCTGACTGAGCACTTGCTTGGTTCTCTCCACCTAATTCACGGCCTTTTCATTTAAAACATTTCCTGACCAGCCCATCTCCATTTTTCCCCATGGGCAGGCTCCCTTCTGCCCAAATAGCTCTGTCTTTTGGGCTGCACCGATGGCCGTGGTCCAGGAGCATCACATCCAGCACATGAGAAAAGGCTTTGAGCTCAGTGAGCAACCATGACTCTTGGTGGCAGAACAGGTGGAGGTCAGCAGACCTCCAGGTCAGCACACAGCAGGAGGGATACAGCTCTCTGTTTACAGACTGTATAAAATGTCAGGTAAGTTCAAGGTTTGGATCTTTTGGCAACCATTCCCGTGGGAAACTCCCCTGCCAGACCTCTGGTAGGGCCTTATGTCACTGCACACACACACACACACACTCCCCCAAGTCGCAAGCAGCCAAGGCATGCAACAAGTGGCCTCCAAAGAGGTCACACATGCTCTGCAAGGCTATTTTTGACCAGGAGGGCCCAGGAAGGGTTAAGCCAAGCCTAGCTCAAGGACCATTTTCAGGGCACGCCAGTGACAGTGAAGGGCTATTTCTGACAGGCTGTCCCTCATGCCAGCCCCCTGCAGTGGGAGACAGGAGGGGGACAAGCACAGAGCAGGCAAGTTTGGGGATCTTTTCTGATTGATTAAGTTTCTGTCCTGGGGTGGGGGACCTTTCACTTCACCTCGCCCATCCCAGCATGTGGGACCCAGAAGCCCCTCGAAATGCTGATCCCCAGGCCATATTGCTCCAAAAAAAAGGCATCTGATGGGAAATGAAAGGTGTGTGGGGCCATGGACCATGACTGGTCTGGAAATCACTGCCTGGGAGGTAGACGGCAGTCCCTGTCCTGTGACGTGTCCAGCCAGCTCAGCGGCATCTCCGTCCCCCTCTCTCCAGCCACAAAACCTTTTCACATCTTTCATCTCATTTCTGCGTGTGACCAGTGTCAGTTCCCCAAAACGCCGATGGAGTTTGGTTTTGCCAGTACTCCCCATCCCGCTGCGAGGAGGGGGATGCTCTCCTCCCTCCTTAACTCGCTCTTATTTTAGCTGCCTTTGGCGATTTCACCAAATCCTTGGTGAGCCCCCATCCCTAACAGACTGTACAGCCAGGAGGTTTCACCTTTAATCCCATGATGCCAGCCCAAGCAGGATCTGATTTCGGTAGCACCTCCAGGGAAAGGCTAGTTTCCCACCTGAGACAACCTCTTCTCGTTTTACACCACAGAAAATCACATGGCTCAGGTGCATCCATCATAGCCCTGACATAACTAATGGGTCAAGAATTAATCCACCACTAGTTAATTCTGCTGGTGGCTCGTTAGGGGATGCACCTGCCTGCTGGCCCCACAAGAAGGGCTGCATCATCCACCCAGCAGCCTGTTCCTGCCAGACCTCCTGCTCTTTTAAGCACCCAAGCCCTGGGCTGATTAATGCAGATGCTATTTGGTGCTCTCCTCAAATGGGGTTGCGCTCTTCCATCTTTGACTAATAAGGCCGCCTGCGGTGGAGTGGCTCTCCTCCTCTGTGCCAACCCCCAGACAACAGCGTCCACTTGGTTTCAAAACAAGGACCTATTACTTAAATTGGGAAAAGCTTTGAATCCTGTAGGTCAGCCTGTACCGGGGAGGACAGCGGAACCAGCGCCTAAATGCAGGGGGAAATGCAGGCAAAAGCAATACTTCTCCACTGGGAAATTTAGATTAATTAAAAGGTTGCTACGAATTACCCCAGGTATGACCCAGGAGGTGAGTTCCTTCCAATATCTCAGCTAGCTGCTAGGCTTTGGGGCAGAGGGCAGGGAGAACCTGGCCATCCTGGGAATCGGGGTGATGGGTTGGAAAAATGGAGCAGCCCGGGGAGGAGTGGGTTGAGAGGCGATTTCTGGCATCGGCAGAATCCCTGATTCTGCAGCTATCAGCCCCATTTTGGAGGAAGGCATGAATCACAAGGACAACTCCGGCCGTGCTGAGGGTGTGAAAACACTCCCTCACCTATAAAAGCCTATTTGGACCAAGCACCCCTGCCTTCAAGTGGCAGTGCTCGTCCCCTTACCTTCCTCCCCATACTGGTCATAAATGGCTCGTTTCTTGGGGTCACTCAGGACATCGTAAGCCTCCGCGATCTCCTTGAACTTCTCCTCGGCGTTGGGGTCTTTATTCTTATCAGGGTGATACTTCAGGGCCATTTTCCGGTAGGCTTTCTTGATTTCATCCTCATTGGCACTGGACTGGATGCCCAAAATCTTGTAATAGTCCTTCCCCATGATGGCAATGCTGCTGGGAGCTGAATACTTATTCCTGAAAGCAGAAAGACAGCTCTTTGTAAGGCGAATATCACACTCGGGCAGCCAGAGATCGGACTGGTGCACGCTTATCACAGAGCCGCTGCTCCCCACGTCCCACCAGCCAACAGCACCAGAGCCGGTTCAAGTCCACGCTTTCCACCAGAGGTCAGTGCCCCGGTGCCAGGACAAGCCCCGGCTCCGGTTTTACCTCTCTGAGCCTCACAGTGGGGACGGAGAGACTCATCTCTGAGGCTGACGGGGAGAGGGAGAGCCTGAGCCGGGGCATGGCATTATTATACAGACCACGCCACCGCTAACGTCAGGCCGGAACCATGTCCCTGTCCCGTCCTCCCCCTGCTGAGCCAGGATGGCTGAGACGTGTCTAAATGTAGCCGCCGGCCCACCCCCCGGCTCTCTCCCAGCCTGGCACCTGGGACTCAGGTGGGGTGATGACAGCAGGTTTTTGGAGGCTGAAAGCGGTGGCAGGGACCTTCACCTTAAAGGAACTTCAAACATTTTGTTCCTGAAAGCAATTGGTATTCAGCTGGAGATAAGCACCTCCGGCGTGTCAGAGCCATAATTTGTATTTAGTGAAGAGAGAACGAAGCCGTTTTAGACAGAAACATCTTGTGACGGTGGGAGGCTTTTTGTTTGTTTGTTTGTTTGTTTGTTTTAAAAAAAACATTTTCTAGCCTGACTTGCACTCCCTGAGAGCCTTCAACTACATCTTGCAGTAAGCCAGAAATATGAAGCAGGAGAAGAGGCAGTGAAGCACCATAGCCTGGCATGAGGCTCGGAGGTTGGCACAGGTGACTGGCTCCCGGGGCTTGGTCTGTCCATCACACAGGGGCCGAGGCCAGGGCCATGCCTATACTAAGGCATGGAAAACCCGGTGGCTGTAACCCAAGGGAGGAAAAGGACGGGCGATTAATTCATCCCCCAGGCATGCCGCTGGAACAGCAAACACCAGTGGGGTCACAGAAACCCAGAGAGCAGCTGGAGGAGACAGGAAAGCAGCTCCTCCGAGCAGAGGCTGAGCAAGCCCCACGCTCCTCCAATGATGCTTCTCGCTGCTTCTTGCCCTTCGGTTTTCTGATGGCAAACTCCCATCCCTCCCAAACCTGGCCTGCCGTGCCCTGCCTTATGCAGCAGAGCTCGGTGCTTACTCCTGGCCCTGCTCTTCTCCAGGTGTTACCCCCAGCAGACCGGCTGCCCTCTGCTAAGTCCTCGTGCTCACGTCCCACTCCCCGCTATGGTCCAGGTTTCATCCTCTCACCCCATCCTTGCTCCAAACAACCCTGGGCAGCCCCAGCCAGTTGAGCCGCTCCAGCAGATGGATTTCTGCATCAGGTGTGAGCCTTGGCTCTTTCCTTCACCATCATACAAGTTACCAGATGTCCTCCCCCCATCCTTACACTATCCATAAGCTCCCGGTAGACACCCCCCCCAACCACAGCAGCTCAGATGAGGGTGGCTGGGCACCCCCGGGGGTGCATATCCACAGTGCTGCACTGAGCCCCTGGCATCCAAGGCTTGCCTTGGGTCATGCCTTTGGCAATAACCCCTCTACAGCTGGGTAGCTGCTACAGGGGCTTGGAAATTGGCCCCCTCGATCTGAACCACCAACTTTTGCTCTTTCTTGCCCCAGCTGCAGAGCAGGTACTTTGCTGTAGGTGGGGAGGAGGGCTAAGGCACCCAACGCAGAAGGGCTGACGGGTGCAGGGACCTCTGAAGGACATAGCAAGGATGGGGGCACCTGCGGACATGCGAGGCAGCCCGGGGGGGCACATAAGAGACAGGAGAAGGTCCCTGGGGGCGTAAAGAGCATCTGACAGCATCTCCCGTGGCAGCTCCTGAATGCCAGCACGTTTCCATACCAGCTTCCTGGCAGGAGCCCCCCAGCTCCTGT